ATATATATATATATAGATGAGTCAGACTGACTCAATGTCTCGCAGCGAGCTCGTGATTGTTGAACTAGCCATGTTCTCCGGTGTCAGGCCGTATAATGCCCACTGATATTGGGAATAGCCCCGGGGCGAGTAGTAAGCGCTAAGGAGGTATGGCGATGCCTGTGACCAACAAAGGGCCATTGAGTGGATTTCCATTTACTCCGAGATAAAGTCGGAGCACCCGGCGTACCCTGATTTGGCAAATGCTGGAAGAATTACAATTCCTCTTGACAATGCAGTTATCTGCACTCGGATCGAGTAACAATCTCCCACTCAAACTTCTTGAAAGACGGTGGCTTTCAAATAGTGTGGTGCATGAAGCTTTTCATTGGAACCAGTCTAGACTCGATTGGACCGGACGATCCCCACATTTCCGCAATGAGTGGAGATCTGGGGAGGGTAAAAAACAACAACCGCGTCCGAAATATGTAATTATGTCATCGTCGATCGAGGATAGGAGGCTAGAAGGGTTCGTTTGAAGCTTTTTTTTCTTTGCCAATACACAGGACCGCTGCAGCAGGGGCCCACCAGGGTGGTACTGTGCCTTTGCCAATGTAACTTGTCCAGTTGACGAACCGGGCATTGCTATAATTAACAGGAAGCATCGGGACGCATCATCCAGTGGTGAGAGTGGAGATGGGACGGGACTAGTAGCGTATCACAGCCCGCAGTTGGGGGAGCACGGATCCAATTTTTCTGTGCATGGGTCGTTGAATAAGCAATCAGTCCCCTCCAGAGACCCCTGACTCCACGATCGACAGGGAGACAGGGTCCTCAGGGCCTTTTTTTTTTTTTTTCTTTTTTTTTTTCTCGTTCAGTCAAGCTCTCTTTTTTTCCCATCCTGTTTGCCCGCCTGTATGTAACCTCAACCCTAGTCAGGTGACACCCGGGCAAGAGGGAACCACCGAACAAGTGCCCCGAAGCAGAGAAATCTCGAGTGCACGACGACAACGACGAAGAAGGGGGAACATTAAGACTTCTCTTGGATGACGTACCCGAGGGAATGATTGGTCTCGTTTCACCAGGGCCGATCTTGCCAAGGTAGCGTGGACTGCAATGGACTCCATCATGATAGGGACTTAGTCAGGTCAAGATGGGGCCATGACTGCGCTTGGCACGGGTCAGTTAAATTAAGCCTTGCGGGATGTTCTTTTCCCTCTCGCAATTCTCTCCAAGCTTTTTTCGATGTCTCCGGTCACTACGGTGTTGCTGCTTACTGACTGACTGAATTCCTTGCCCCTCCCCAAAAATTTATTCATCGGAGAGGATGCACTACCTCACTAATCGACAGCTATGTGCCACTTTGTTATTCCTCTTTCTCCACGTCCAGACCGCGTGGTCGGACTTGGGAATTGTCGCCAACAATGAGGGTATGCTTCTTTCCAACCCCCAAACCCTTCCTCTTCACGGTCGCGAAATTGTCCAACATGCGCTCCAGGTCTCCGAGTTCTCTAACGCAGAATGTCAGATTCATTAAAAAAAGGCGCCCAGGAAATTATCCCGCCGATGATGGAGTTCTACAAGCAGAACCAGACGGAGGGGATTCCGGGAAAGCTGACGGACACCTGGTATATCGCCGGAAGTATGTTCATGACGTTGATTCAATACTGGCAAGCATCGGGCGACGACAGCCAGAACTCGGTGGTGTCGCATGATCTCATGTTCCAAGCGGGCGAAAATTATGACTTTTTCTCTCAAAACTACAGTCAATGGCTGGTACGTCGTCGTCCTCGTCGTCCTCCGGGTGCCTTTACTCTGCCTCGGGCGCAAAACCGCTGACCGTCACGTACCCAGGGTAACGACGATCAAATGTTCTGGGGTCTGGCAGCTATCACGGCGTCTGAGGCCGGATTCCCCGAGCGTGAGGGGAAACCCTCGTGGACCTCCCTCGCGCGTGCGGTCTTCAACGAGCAGGTCGAGCGCTGGGACGGTCAAACCTGTGGGGGTGGTATGCGCTGGCAGGTCTGGCCCTACCAAGCTGGATATCAGTTAAAGAACGCCATCTCCAACGGCGGTCTGTTCGAATTAGCCGCGCGGTTGGCTCGATTTACCAAAAATGAGACCTATACCGAATGGGCCGAGAAGATTTGGGACTGGTCGGCCAAGTCGGGGCTGATGGACGTCAACAAGTGGACAATCTATGATTCGGTCAACAACGACGATCAGTGCAAGAGTCCCGACAATCTCCAGTGGACCTACAACTATGGGACCTATTTGTCGGGCGCGGCCTTCCTGTACAATTACGTAAGTCCTTCTTCCGTCGCCGAGTGGACCCTGGTAATCCTCCCTAATGCCTGTCATCTCGCTAACAATCCATACAGACCAACGGGGAGGAAAAATGGCTGAATCGGGTCAACGGTCTGCTGGGTACGACTCTCAAGGTCTTCTTCCCGGACAAATTCGGCGGCAATACCATGTCCGAAGTCGCATGCGAGCCCATCATGTCCTGCGACCGAAACCAGATCGGTTTCAAGGGCTACCTATCCATGTGGTTGGCTTTCACCTCCATCCTTGTGCCGTCGACCAAGGATCAGATCGCCCCAAAGCTGCAAGGGTCGGTTGAATCCATCTCCAAGATGTGCAACGGCCAATCCGACGGCCAGAGCAATCTGTGCGGTCTCACCTGGGGCGCTAACCAGTTCGACGGAGTCAAGGGCCTCGAAGCCCAAATGTCGGCCCTGGGCGGTGTCACGGCCAATCTGATGCTGATGGCAACCGACTCCCCCAACACGATCGATACGAACCCGGACGCGAAGGAACACAACGTGCCTTCCGCGGGAGGGGAGAAGGATCCCTCGGAGCCGAAGCCAATTACCACGGCGGATCGAGCGGGCGCTTGGATCCTGATGGTGATGATGATTGCCGGAATCACGGGCTCGGTCGGCTGGCTCGTCAAGCCTTGAGTCGAGCAAGTCTGGATTTGTCGGTAAAATCCAGGGTTGCAGGATTCGGTTGGTATCGTGGTTGATTGTATGTATATAATTATTTTCATTTTCCATGGTGTTGCTTGGGAGAGGGTTGGGATCTGTATATCTGGGCATTGATTGCCTTTTGTCCCCCCCCTTTTTTTTTTTTCTTTTCTTTTCTCTTTTCTTTAGGGTGCTGATTGCCATACTACCTATACTACACACTGGCCCCTTGGTGCCTGCGGCACGCGGAACGAACTAGATGTCGGATAGAAAGCCCAGATTCTATCTTAAATCTCTAATAACAAAGAGTTTATGAACCTGATATATACATATTTGATCATTACGCGTCATACTCGTCCAATAATACCGTGCCTCCACGGCGGAATCTATACTCCACTACCAATTGCCCCGGCTTTTCTCCTCTTCAGATAATACTGCACTCCCAGTGCTGCTGCCAATACCCATGACGCCCCGGCCAAGGCACAAATAGCCGTCAAGCCATGCAGATATCTCGGTTTATCCGATGTGCGGAAGATCTGCGATCCGGAGATACCGGCACAATTGGCCGCCATAACGATCAACCTGTTATCACCATTAGCCAGTGTCAAGCGGAAGAAGAAATCCACGTGCGGAAAAGGTAAAACATACGCCATGGAGACACTTCGCTCTTGGGGTGTTTTGCAGTAGACGGAAAGCCAGCCGATGTTTAGGACACTGTTGACCCTGTGAGTATTGAGGACATGGGAAACGGGGAGGGAAAATGAACGTACTGCATGCTGGCATAGGATACATTCGCTACGGCGACGACACCATACTTATGCCAACTCGACGAGGAATACGGCGTCGTGCGCAGACAGGCGTACGAGATCACATTCCACGTGATGGCGAGGAGAACGAAGGGACCTCGATGTCCGGAGCGATCTCTGTTCGAACGATTAGCCCCATTTCAGAATACACGGAGGTTCGCAGCGAGGAGCTTACGCGAAATAAGACAGCCCCAGACACCACACCATGCTGCAATAAATCGGCACCGACGCCAGCGCATTCGCCCGCACGGCACTGAACCCAAACGACTTGATCATGCTCGGCGTATACTGCGTCAGACCCTGGAACCCTGACATGGCGACGAGGGTAATGAAAAAGTGCTGGATGGTGTTCGGCTGGCGCACGGTGTTCCAGATATCCTTGGCCGTGATCTTGATATGGCCGCGGGCTTTGCGCGGGTCGTCCAGAAGGACTCTGTTGCGGATGATGTGGGACTCGCGTGGGGTGAAATAGCTCCAGCGCTTGAGGCCGATCAGAGCGTAACCGTTGCCGGCCCTGGGTGGGACGAGGAGAGTGAAGATGATGCCGGCGAAGATTGTTATTAGGCCTTCGACTGTAAAATCGTTAACGAGGTGATTCTGCCGGGGTTGGTCTGGATTGACGTACTGAGAAAGATCCATTGCCAGCCGGAGAGCCCGTGTTTACCGTCTAGGGTCAGTAGGCCGGCGGATATAAGGCTCGAGGTCGCTGCTGCGAACATCTGTCCGAAGAAGAAGAGGGTGGTGCGGAAGCTTGTCTCGCCTTTCTTGTACCATGTGGAAAGATAGTACAACGCGCCTAGTCCATCCATTAGTGCTCCATTGCTTTCGATCAAGTCTTGGGTAAGCGTCTGTACCAGGGATGAAGCCGCCCTCCAACAGTCCTAGCAACAGCCTCGTTACTAAATACGCAGGATAGCTCTGCACGAACGCCTGAAAGGTCGCGACAAGACCCCAGGCGAACAGCTGGACCGAGAGCCATATCTGCGGGCCGATCCGTTGAAGGATGATATTCGACGGGATTTCTGTGAGGACAATACCGGCCGAGAGCAATTGCGTACCGATATTAATCTGGTTGGTTGTTATCCCCAGGTCATCGGTGATAGTGGACGTGAGCGCAGCGCTGATGTTTCCACGGTCAACTTGGAGAGCAAAAAAGGCGAGGCCAAGAATGGGGAGAAGGATAAAGTCAATTCTGCATCGAAGATAAAAGTCTGGTGGTCAGTCATTTGGTTATCTGGAAGTATATGCGGTTTGCTCACTTTCGACGAAGCGCATTCTCCTCCTTATCATCCCAATCTTTGATAATTTCTTCATCCGACGACTCCTGATCCGTGGAGACTTCGGTTATGATCTTTTTCTCTGGTGGTAGATCATTGTCGAGTGGGGAATGTTGATCAGGTAAAGACATCATAGCATTAAGACGGGGGGGGGGAAGTTAGGGTATTCTTGTGATTTTACTACTTAGAGAAACCCCCTGTAAGCAATTGTTCTTTTCTTGATCTGATACCATTTTCATAGAAACTTTCCGATCGGTAACATGATATTTATAAGTTTTCTACATTATTGTTGACAGGAATATTGTGTCTGGGCTAGTTTTTATCCATGATATGCTGCGAGACTGGGGCTTGATGGCGCAATCAAGCTATCGACGCGTCAATGCCGACCAAACGTCAGTCTCTGGACAGTCTAAATCCCCTAACGCCAGCCAAGCGAAAAAGTAAGTTCAGACAGTAGATAAAAAGGACAACTCGATTGCCGAACTCATTTCGTTATGGCGCCATCCATGCTGTGATTGGGCATTCTGATCAGAATAGATTAAAGGCACAGGGACATTGTGGCTCCTTCGTCGGCAGTTAAAATCACAACATGATGCCAATGCTCGCCCTAGACGAGGGTATATTATGATTTCAGAAGCCGAAAGCAATGCAAAGCAATAATAAAAGCTATACACGTGCCTAAGTAGGTATTTTATTACATTCTATTAGCGTACGTACATGCAGCACCAGTAAACAGAACAGGAACAGTACATAAAAGCTGAAAATAGATAAGCCAAACGTCCTAGTTCAGATCAAATCTGTCAAGGTCCATGACCTTCGCCCAAGCAGCAACAAAGTCATTCACGAATTTCTCCTTTCCATCACTGCTGCCATACACCTCGGCAATGGCGCGCAGCTCGGCGTGAGATCCGAAGACAAGATCGGCCCTGGTAGCAGTCCATTTCTTCGAGCCGGTTCGACGGTCGGTGCCTTCGTAAATGTCACTGTCACGGCCTGATGCCTTCCACGAGGTGTTCATATCGAGGAGATTGACAAAGAAATCGTTTGTCAGGTGGCCCGGCCGGGTAGTAAACACACCGTGGGCGGAACCATCGTAGTTGGCATTCAGAGCCCGCAGTCCACCAACAAGCACCGTCATTTCAGGCGCAGATAGAGTGAGCAACTGCGCCTTGTCAACCAGATAGTGCTCAGCTCGCGCCCGAGCAGGAGAGGAGCCATAGTTCCGGAATCCGTCTGCTACGGGCTGCATTTGACTGAATGATTCGACATCCGTCTGGTCCTGCGAAGCATCCATGCGTCCCGGCGTGAAAGGCACAGTGATGTTATGGCCGGCATCGCTGGCAGCTTTCTCGACAGCGGCACAGCCGGCGAGCACAATGAGATCCGCCAGGGATACTCGCTTTCCATCGTTCTGGGCGCTGTTGAATCTGTTTTGGACGTCATCCAGGGCCTTCAATGCTGCCTCCAGCCATGGCTGGTTATTGACCTCCCAGTCGCGCTGAGGGGCAAGGCGAATACGCGCACCATTGGCGCCGCCACGCTTGTCACTGCCCCGGAAAGTCGATGCTGATGCCCAAGCAGTCGAGATGAACTTCGAAGAGTCGACACCCGTTGCGAGAATATCCCGCTTGAGTGCGGCAATATCGGTGTCATTAATCACCGGATGGCTTACTGCAGGGATGGGATCCTGCCAGGACAGCTCTTCCGCGGGGACCTCAGGGCCGATATAGCAAGCACGCGGCCCCATGTCCCGATGTGTCAGCTTGAACCAGGCCCGCGCGAAAGCGTCTGCAAACTGATCTGGATTCTCCAGAAAGCGGCGCGAGATCTTCTCGTAAGCAGGATCGAATCGCAGAGACAGGTCGGTGGTGAGCATCTGTGGTCGGTGCTTCTTGGATGAATCGTATGCATCCGGGATAAAGGCATCTGCGTCTTTGGCTACCCACTGGTGCGCGCCCGCAGGACTCTTGGTCAGCACCCATTCGAAGCGGAACAGGTACTCGAGAAAGTTCAAGCTCCATTGGGTTGGAGTCTTTGTCCAGGTTACTTCCAGACCACTGGTAATGGTATGCGCGCCTTTTCCGGAGCCGTAGCTGTTCTGCCAACCAAAGCCCTGTGCCTCTAGGCCAGCAGCCTCTGGCTCAGCATCAACGTGGTCCGAGGAAGCCGCGCCGTGTGTCTTTCCAAAAGTATGACCCCCGGCAATTAATGCAACGGTTTCCTCATCATTCATTGCCATGCGAGCGAACGTGGTACGAATGTCCCGAGCTGCAGCGACTGGGTCGGGGTTTCCATCGGGTCCTTCCGGATTCACATAAATCAAGCCCATATGAGCAGCTGCGAGCGGCTTTTCCAGTTCGCGAGAATGTATATCGCGATGGGGTTCTTCATCGGCGATAACAGCACCATGCTTGGAAGATCCGGCAAACCCGTGGGAATACCGCACGTCATTCCCGAGCCATGTGGTCTCCCTACCCCAGTATACAGATTCGTCCGCTTCCCAAGTATCCTTACGGCCACCGGCAAATCCGAATGTCTTGAAGCCCATAGACTCTAGGGCCACGTTGCCCGTCAAGATCATCAGGTCGGCCCAGGAGATCTTGTTACCATACTTCTGCTTAATAGGCCAAAGCAGGCGTCGAGCTTTGTCGAGACTCACGTTGTCCGGCCAGCTGTTGAGTGGCGCGAACCGTTGTTGACCTTGCCCACCACCACCACGACCATCAAAGGTGCGATAGGTACCCGCACTATGCCAGGCCATGCGGATGAAGAGGCCACCGTAATGGCCAAAATCCGCTGGCCACCAGTCCTGTGAATCAGTCATCAGATCCTGCAGGTCCTTCTTCAGAGCATCGTAATCCAGACTGTTGAAAGCCGCAGCATAGTCAAAATCTGGATCCAGTGGGTTTGAGGCTGCTGTGTGCTGACGGAGGATGTTCAGCTTCAGCTGGTCTGGCCACCAGTCGCGGTTCCGGGTGCCACTGCCCGCAACGTTGGGCTTCGAGGCTTGGTGGAAGGGACATTTCTCTGCCATGATGGGCAAAACTGGAGATTCAGTTGTAGCGTGTTAAGATTGAACTTGTTTATTGTATAAGAAAGAAATTATGATGGATTCAATTGTCTCATGCATGATATTCCAGCAGCTGGAGGTGAACAACCATGGTCTTTATATTGTTTCTTCACCACCATGACGACGAATTCATTAGTAAGGTGCCCTAGGTATTCATCATCCAAGCGAAAGCGGAGTGAATCCCACCGGCACTGAATTGATTCTGGCTTTCAAACCCTCCTGGTTCTCGACCATAGATGCTTATTCGCCGGGACATGCTCAAGCATTCTGGCGACGTCATTAGCTGTCCCACCAGAAGGTAAACTGTGCTGCCTGCCAGTATAGTGGATCGGCCCTCTCATAGTCAGTGTTGAGGATGGCTACAAACCATGAACGAATAGGCAGTCCCAGAAATTGCTCTATCCAGGGACCAATGAGCTAAGACTTGTTGACATAACAAGAAACTCGATTACTCAATAGGTGATCTGCAAGTGACTGATTTGCAGTAGTCCCCACCAACGATCTAGATGGCTTAGATTAGAAAGATTTGGCATCAGGCGCCGGTTTTCGGCCTGAAACTTTAGCAGTGGTAGGAGCTTAAGTGAACGTTAGCAAGCATCTTGGTCTCGAATCGATATTTAATAAGCAGTCCCCCATTTGCCTTCGAAGCGGATTAGGAAAGTTTAACTCGATTTGGTCAAGGGCGAGGTGGTCTTGGCAGCATCCAGCTCTCGAAGGCGAGTCCTAAAGTCTGTATTGAAACTTCACAACTAAGACCTACCGAGGTAACTCTAAGTACAAAAACGAATCGAATCGAGTAGATCTGGAGTCTTCCGCGAATACCCCTGCAGTGAATCAATATGCCTGGTTGCCGAGCTGCCATCCTCGGTAGCGTTCAAAACCCTCGGTAATAGACGTGCTAGTTTACTTTCTCTTAGAATACTACCATTGCTACCATACGTGGGATTCAGCCGGGGCGTCTAGAACACGTTTAATGGGGGGGAACCAAATGGGTAATCGTTTGGATGGGGACCCCGATTTGTAAACGCCCATTTTGGACGGGATGGCATGGATCCAAACTATCTGGTTTATCACTAGGAATGCCGCTGACCTCAAGGGGCTGGATTACTAGACTAAAGTCTTCGGCCGCCTCGGAACCCGAGTATCCTATGTCCTGAAAAAGTGGGCTGATCGAGTCGGTATGATGCTAGCCTTGTGGTGTCTGAGTCTTGTTCGGCGTGGAGTGGGTAGGGGCGATACTCAAATCAGGACATGAGGAATGTTTAGCAATGCAGAAGAACTTTGGAGAATGTCCCATAGAAATTGGAATATTTGAAATCCTGCACTTCGACTAATCCGTCTGCACACACTGTAGTAGCTATGGCAATGCTTCCATGTGTCGAAATGAGCCGTTCTAGCTATGTGTCTAATGATGCATTGAAGTTGGATCTTCTCTAAACAGTACCTTCGGTACTCCCACCTCTTTGATGCTATGCGGCATTGCGATACTTATGATCCAGCTTATTGCGACTGTAGCTCCCTTCGCCCCTCAAATCTACAACTCAATCATGTGCCGCTCAGTTCAAAGCCCACATATGTATCTCGCACCGCGTTCCCACCTAACAGATCAGGGTCAAGTAGGAACGTTTTGAACTGATTTATTAGCATGAGTGGCTTCATACTCAAGAAAACGCCGATTAAAAGCCGCTGGCAGGTAATCAGATTGAAGCTAAATGAGATCACTGGATCTACCTGGTAGGGAGGAACTCGGAGTGCTCAGGGCTGATTACCGAAATCCTTTCGATTTCTCCCGGTTTCACACTGTATGACTGAGCCAATTTCAAAGTGGCATCGGCGATATCTAAAGTTTTGTCAGCTCTGGTTATCAACATGCCTTAATGGAACACCCGACGAATATCGGCGCCGCCATTGCTCTCCAACTATCCATGCAGGTCATCTTAGATGTTGGGAGCTAGTTGTGCTACAACGTGCCCCTACTCGTAGACAATAATGTGCACAGGGTTGTCCAGACTGCTCTTCACGTGAAAAATCACCACTTATATTGTCGACGCCTGCTGCCGGTAGATCTTCTGGGTTGTTTAAGCGACCATCTAGTGGTGCTGGCAATGATCTCGCCGCCATCAATTAGAATTTATTACTTATCCTTGCTTGTATTATGAGCCGTCTAGTCGAAGGTAAAAGATCCCTATCAATCATGATACTAGCTAGTATCAAATCCTGAATCGGATCGGCAGTTGGACTCAATATGAAGACAACGTAGCTAAACGGACTATTCCTACTCTCTGTAGAGGAAAGCTAAAAACGAATCTATACAATGTATTCGGTTAGCAGATACCCAAATTGTGTAGAATTGCTAAATGGAAGTTCGGAGTAATTCGCGGACTGTATCTTGCTGGCTCGGGATTTTCCCGATACATCATTTTTGTCCCGGAAATGTTCCGAAAGACAATTCTTGACTCTTGCCTACGACCTGGTATCAAATGCAGCGTAATGTAACTACAAGTTGTCCGAATGACTTTCATTTGTCTAATCTCGGGATATTATAATCGAAAATAAAAGAATAAATAGAAAAAACCTGCAGTATTACATTCCGAACGGGCTAAGACCCTTGAAAAGGCACACTGTATCTATATTTTTTGCCAAACTGAGACATGAGAAGCTTGATCTGTCTTCAACGGATAAGGTTTTGATCGGGCAGCTATAGCGAAACAAGATGATGCAAGGGGAAGACATGACTATGCTTATTCCCTTGGATGAGCTGTGGAAGGGATTGGAGGCGGTGATATTAGTATGATCCTCGTCCCCGTTGTGTAGGGCTCGGTGAAATGGGCCCATCGCCTATGAAGGATCAGAATTGTGTAAACAGCCTATTAAACTACCACGGCTGTTCAGGAAGCGGACTTCATGGGTGATATACATCAGTATACCTATATTTTCACAATGCTTGTCTACTGGGTACTATTCTTTCTTTCTACCTGCTTCTAGGCAATCATCGGCTCATCACCGACTGCGCTTAGGGCTGTCCCGAAGGCGAGTATAGTCATTGTCTTGTTAAGATTCTCTCACCTACAGGATTTTGTATTTTTGACCTTAGGCCGTGGTCTGTTCAATTATCTTGATCGTACCTCATCCACTGCATTGTGGGGTATCTTTTGGACCCTAGTGGATTAGGCACAGTCATCGTCACAAATACTCCCCTCCTTGCTTTCCTTGCCGCTACGTGAAGTTTCGAATATTTTTGGGCAGTGGCAACCGCAACAAGCATTTTCAACAAGCAAATCGAAATACATTCATTCCTATGGTGTATCAGGGACCTGAATGGACAAAGGAATGATAAAGACGGGCGACAAAAAACGAGTTGATATGGGATAATAGAAGTAACCGTCGTAAAGCGTTAAACTTTCTTGCCTGTGTGACATGTGCTTCTAGATAATTTTTCGTGAGGATCCCTAGTTATATAACTAATTAACTTAGCTTTAATGGCGGCTACGGTGGACCAGTATCTGTCTTCTGAAAAAGATTTGCTAGGGATTTACTCCGTAATACAGTAGATCTACTTGACTATGTACTGGAAATTTCCTCTCAGTCTAGCAAGGGGGTCATCGCATATTCACACAATGTAATAGGCCAATATTACTTTTTGTGAAGGCCCTTCTCGTTTAAACGATTCTAAGAAAGAAAAAAAAAACGAAGATGAAAGACATCGTGGATCTTCAAAGATCATGTGAAGATATCTCGTGATACTGGAGCCCTATAAATTATCCCAGCCTCGGCATACTACATTGTCTCCCTGGAAATTTCTGCTAAAACCCTTGGGTTTCACGACAATAGGCAGTCCACCTCAGACGGCGTCTTCCTTCGCCACGTGTACTATCGAATTTTGTGGCTCAGTCCAGGAAAAACACTCCTAGCGAAACTCTGCTGTGTCAGAATCTTAACCCTAAGAGGCAAATGGAATTTTTGCTGAGGCGAAATCTGCTGAGGCGGTAGCGCTTGCGGCTAAAAGAACGTTGAGAAGGGAAAGTTAAAAACGAAAAAAGAGTCCCCAAAGAAGTATCGGATCGACAGGGCAAAGAAAGGGGAAGTTCCGTGCGAATCATCTCAGGAGAACCGTGTTTTTCTTTTCGTACCTATCTAATTCCTATGTAATGAGTACGTCCGATGACCTATCAGTATGATCCAGAGACGCTCTCCTCCGGAGTTCATTCTGCAATCCCAATTGAAAACCCAACACTCAACCGTTTCACTAACCCGAAGAATAAAATTAAAAGAGATGGTGGAGAATGGGCTCCACGGTGGCCATGGATTGGTCCTCATCAGATGATGGATCCACCTGCACCAGTCTCTGGATCGTCAAATAGGCGTTGGACAGTCTTATCAGGGGAATTAACTCAATACTTCTTTATGGAAAGATTAGCTTTAGGGGATATGCCTCAAAGGTTCCGTGCCTTTTCTGGAACATTTAGGAGACAGGTGTTAATTGACCAATAGTTGCTAGGGGATTTAGGGGCAATATGAGTTAGGGCTTGAATTTTATTCTAATTTTATTTTTCTAATTCTTTGTCTCCCAGAAGCTATTGATGCTGACTGTCTTTTTCCCTTTCCTTTTTTTTTTTACTGTTTTTAATTTTTGTTTTCGATCCTTTGTCCTTTTCCCTCTATAACCAGAGGGATCCAGAAGATTTTCGGTAGTTGTTGCTCAAAATCTAGCTTGGGCGTGCTACAGCGATGGCCGAGTTGCACAACAGAAAAGCCGAAAAGGTATGCGTTCATCTTGTATTTGGCTTAGAAACATAAGGAGCGAGGCGAGAAAGGAGGGGACCAGACGCAAGTCATTGCTGACACCCTTTTCCTATAGGCCGTCGAGAAAGACACCACTCCTACCCTGAAAGAGCTCAAGGATGCAATTCCCAAGGAATGCTTCGAGTCATCGGCCGTCACATCACTCTTGTACCTCGCTCGTGACATCCTTTACTGCGCCATTCTGACTGTCGCTGCCTTTCAAATCCACCGCATTCCTTCATTACCGCTGCGTGTCATCGCTTGGGCTACGTACGGTTTCTTTCAAGGCTGTGTCGGCACTGGAATATGGATTCTCGCACACGAGTGTGGCCACGGAGCCTTCTCGCCTAACCAGAGGCTCAATGACTTCGTCGGCTGGGCTGGACATTCATTCCTGATGGTACCCTACTTCTCCTGGAAGATCACCCACGCCCGTCACCACCGCTACACCGGTCATATGGACAAGGATACCGTGTATGTGCCGTGGACAGACGATGATCTAGCAAAGAAAAAGAACGTGCGGATTGAGCAACTGAAGCATCTGACTGAGGAGACCCCGATTGTGTCTTTCCTGCAGCTGATCGGTCACCAGCTGTTCGGATGGCAAATCTATCTCCTCTTGAATGCCACCGCAGGCTCCAAGAGTCTGCCTGAAGGAGCAGGAAAGATGGGACCTGCAAACCATTTCAACTTTATGGGGCCGCTCTTCACGGGCTCCCAGCGTGTGTCTATCGCACTGTCTGATTTAGGATTGTTGATCATGGGCTCCATTCTGTACTATGCGTCTACCCAGATTGGAGGTTGGAATATCGTGCTGTTGTACTTTATTCCTTATCTCTGGGTCCACCACTGGCTGAGTATGTCTCCCGCAACTCTTCTTAACATAGATTCTCTTTTCTTGTGACAGGCTATTCTAACATCAGCCCAGTTGCCATCACATACCTCCAACACACCCATCCCGACGTCCCGCATTACACAGCCGAGGCCTGGACCTATACCAAGGGTGCGCTCGCCACCGTTGACCGTACAATCGGCTTTATTGGCCGCCATTTCTTCCATGAGATCATCGACTACCACGTTGTCCACCATCTGTTCAGCCGCATTCCATTCTACAAGGCCGAGGAAGCGACCAAGGCCATCCAGCCACTGCTCGGCGAAGAGTACCACGAATCTAAGGACGAAAGCTTCCTGTATTCGCTGATGACGACATTCCGGAAGTGCATCTACGTTTCTGCGAATGGAAGCTCCCAGCCTGGTGTTCTGCATTTCGTCCGGGCTGATAAGAGCAACTGAAGAGTTTAAGAGTCCCTGGAGGGCTCTATTGCTCACAAAAGTGAGGCTCTGAGAGCGAGAAGATTTTTGCCAAAAATATAGATGATTTATAACATAGAGGGTTGCTTTTGGAGTTTATTGTGTCATTGCGATTGATACCGGCCCACTTGAGGTGGATGTTTGAGACTTTTGTTTCTAATTAATCACTTATAGACGGTCTAGTTTACGGGCAATTGGCCAAGATACCAATGGGAGAAGCGTTCAGAATCTTGTGTTTTTCTATAATTTTTGTAGATGTATGGATACCTTCAGAGTCGCGATCACTATTCAGGTCCCTTAGGGCTTCGATAATGAGACGCCTATGCCTCCTGTCACAGCAGCAACTGTCACATCATTTGAACCCGCACAAGGCAATCGTAGTCTGATTAGTTTGCAAGTTCTGAGGAAAGTCTATAGATTTATATGACTTGAATAGCTATGGCCATATGCTTCTATAGAAGGAATGTCTATTTGATAACCATGCCCTACAAATAAGTTACCACTGTTGCTTATAAGGTTTGTTGGTGCCTGGTCAGAGGAGTCCCGATTAAGGTTATCGGACGGTGATTAGCACCGGACCCAGTCATGGACGATGGGTCTCGTTTCCTTAGATCATTGGGTGGGGTTTTTATTCGAATGGGGAGCATGAGATTCCTAATTTAGAGGCCCATGTTGCCTTCTCAGACTCGATACCTAGACCGACGCTTCTTTACCCTTTACAGCTTTTCAAACGTCGGCGTGCGTTTCTCTACGCCAGCCGTCAAAGCCGTAGACACGTCGCCTGTTTGTATAGCAGCACTATTCCAAACAGCCGTGTAGCGAAGACCTTCAGAATGAATATAGTCGTTAGCCATTGGGCAACCACAGGGGTACAAGTCCAAAAGACTCCTTACCTTCGGCAATAGGATGGTCTCTGGACCAATTCAGCAGTTCCTTGGTTCCCTGCACTGCAACCGGGCTTTTCTGTGCAACAAGACTGGCAATATCCAAAGCCGCTCCCACCACTGCCTCTTTCGAATCATGAATCGAGTTTACGAATCCCACTCTGAGAGCCTCTTCGGCGCCAAAGATCCGTGCTGAAAGTGCCACCTCCTTCACCCAGCCAAAATTGCCTACGATCTTGGGTAGTCGGCTTAGTACACCAATATCTGCTGCCATCCCAATATCGACCTCCTTGACGGAGAAGCGAACATCCCGAGTACATATTCTGATATCGGCAGCGGCAGAAAGGTCGATCGCAAACCCGTACGCGTATCCATGCATGGCAGCGATGACAGGTTTCTCACAGCGCTCGATAGCAGTAAGGCAGTCTTGAAACTCAAGGATGTAGCGTCGAAGATTGAACGCTTTACGTGCGGTGTCGGAGCCGCCCTTATCATTGAAGAGCTCTAGGGGGGCCTGTTTGACATCCAGTCCGGCAGTGAAGGCTCTGTCTCCCGCGCCCGTGATGACAATTGCACGGACAGAGGAATCGGAAGACAGTTGATCGAAAACTTGACGCATCTCGAGCCACATTCTATACCCAGCGTCAGCAACGTCTTTGGCAAGCTTTCTCTGAAGGGTACTATGGCCGGTTGCCGGTAACATACGGCTCAATGAATGCATTTAGTTTCTCTGGGCGGTTAATCTCGACATGGGCGACGGATGGTCGTGCTGCAGGAAACTGGACCGTGAAGTATTTGTAAGAATACGCAGAGCCTCCGGTAGCTCCCATCTTGTCATCGACTTTGGTCGTTAGTTGCGATGTGTTTGTCTTGCTTTTCTAGCAGGTTTTCAGTTCAATTGGGAGGCAGTCGGATGAGGGAGTATATTTCAAGATACCCAGCCAGATTCTGGGAGGAAGTCGAGCTTTTATCCTCACCAGCTGGATAGCATATGGATCCCAGTTAACCTCGGGTATACTTGTTGATACAGGGTTCCTATCAGCAATTCCAAGCATAAGCTTTAGTATCAACCAAACCATAGGCTCCACTGTCTAGGGGTAGTTCTATCATCTAGCTTTCGTGGGGTAACCCGACTTCACCGGTGCTGTTCACTAATCTAAAAATGATCACGATATCCCCACATTTTACTACCAGATCAACCTCGGTCGGGATCATCTGTGTTTCACTATATCGTAGAACTTGGTGGCCCCTCGGTAGGCACTTTCAACGCGGTGTCATCTAGCTACTCGTAGAGGTTCTCGTGGATATACTTATCACAGAGTTAGGGTTTCTTGATAGACACCTGATTTCGATGGCCAATTGATAAGCTTATCGATAAGGCGGCCAGACCGTCGGCCCTGACGCCGGCGGCCAATCAGAAGCAGACCATTAGACTCCACTCCGCAAAAAGTCGGACTTTCAATTTTCACTCCGGGAACTATTTTGTATCTCCGCAAAAACAAGCCAGCAAAAGGGCGCCGTTCTTTCGTTTTGCTGTTTTTGGGTGTGACGTTCTGCTTTATTCTTTTGATTCAATGCAGCAAGCCAAGTGAAAAATCAGTTACAGCATCCTTTTTTTCTTACCAAAATGCAAAACATCGCCCACAAGCCAGGGGACGTGGCGCGAGAATCGCTCGCGTCGCCACTCCCGACAAACGGCTTGCAAGCAAAGCCCAATGTGTCGTCTTTAGGATCGTGGTCTCATATGATCGCTGGCGCGTGAGTGGTCCTGGAAGAAGTACTTTCTGGTTTATATACTAAGACTGGTGTCAATACAGCACAGGTGGAATGGTCACGGCGGTTCTCACAAGTCCACTCGATGTCCTCCGGACCAGGTACGATACAATCGCAGAAATCTTATACAGATTGTGTCAGTGGGTTAACGCAATTCGACACAAACATAGGTTACAAACAGACTACTACCAAACCCAAGCAGTCAAGCCTCATCCAGTGCCTACACAGCCCCATCTTCGTCCATCATTCTACCGCACCTCCCTCCTTCACTTCCGCGACACATTCGAGATCCTCTTCTCCATTCACCGCGTGGAAGGCTGGAGAGGTCTCTTTAAGGGCCTCGGACCCAGTCTGACCGGTGTCGTTCCGGCCAGCGCGGTCAAATTCTATACGTACGGAAACTGCAAACGGCTTCTTCCGGAGATAATCGGATGCGAGAAGGATTCGTCACTCGTGCATGCCTTATCCGCTGCATGCGCTGGAATTGCCACCGGCTCGGTTACGAATCCGATCTGGGTGGTCAAGACGCGACTTCAGCTGGATAAGGCCGGGGCCCGGCGGTATAAGAACAGTCTGGATTGCGCCCGGCAGGTTCTGCAACAGGAGGGACCAAAGGGCTTTTATCGGGGCTTGTCGGCGAGCTTCCTGGGTACAATTGAGACGACACTGCACCTGGCCATGTATGAGAAGTTCAAGGGGATGATCTCGAAGAAGATTGATCTCAATGAGAAGAGCGAAACAAACGGGTTTGTTCAGGGTCTTGCTATGAGTGGCGCTTCGGGTTTGTCGAAGTTGATCGCGTGTTTGATTGCGTATCCCCATGAGGTAAGTTGTGGAAGTAGTCTTCACAGCTTCGGATGTTCATCTAACCCGTCGCAGGTTATCAGGACTAGATTACGACAGGCTCCGATGGCGGACGGTCGCCAGAAGTACACCGGAATTCTTCAGTGTGCGCGGCTGATCATAAAGGAAGAAGGTGCGGCAGCGCTGTATGGAGGCTTGACGGCACATCTATTGCGGACCGTTCCCTCCGCTGCTATCACAATCGGTACCTATGAGCTGGTCCTCAAGGTCCTCGAGCGTCGCTAAGCTCTTGTATAAGTGAGGCCCAGACCTCGATATTTCCCTTCTCATGTATTATAGATGTACGATAGACCAGGTGCAACGATACCTTGTAATATAATAACGACATTGAAGATAAATGTTGATGGTCCTTCAGGAGATCAGGTCTGACAATGCGGCTTAGCATATCGACCGAGGCACTTGTCCCTTAGACGATAATCAGATCCGTTGAATATCGACCATGACCCTACTTGGCAGGGAATAGAGGCAAATGATCAATACCTCAGGCTGTTGGATCCTCACGCATTCTTACGCATGAGGGAACTCATTGAATCCTGGCCCCTTTCGTTTACTACGTTTAGCTAGTGGCAACTGATCCCATATGGGTGCAACCGCCCTATAGCTTGGATGTCGCACATACTCCCATCAGGCTGTTCATAAGATGAACAATCTAATAGCTCCACGGCAACCCCATCAGGGTATGCAGAACGTCATCCCAAACCCACCATACTCACGGAGAGATACACGCGATTGCCGCTCATGGAGGGGGCTTTTGCATATCACTCGCCCCTCAGATGCATGGCCTCGTCGAAGAGGGGCCCATTCATGTGCGTCATCATGCTCTTAGGGTAAGGATCTCCACGGGTCAACAGCGTCCACAAACGAGAGACTTATCAGAGACAGGCAAAGGGAAGCGGGGCAGCATAGAAAGGCGAGAGCCGATCTGATGCACGACGTCAGCTGCATTCTGACATGGGCATTGACACCGAGATTATCCGACGGACAGCCAATGGACTGCAAGCCATGGCACCTCGCACTGCTACTAATAGGACAGTCAGGGACAAGGGGATGATAGTCAACATCTACCAGTATCCTGTTGTATTGCCCATCAACTACGCTGAGCTTTCCACGCCATGGCCACTCAAACGGAGTCTGTAGTGGAAGTACCCAGAACCAAATCCACAAAGCCTCTGGAAAAGTATACCCATCTGCCCGAGTCAAAGCAAGATCGTGAGTCGCCAGAGATGCGACCACCAAACACAGAATGCTAAGACGACACAGTGAAATATGCGGACTTGGTTACGATTGACCTGTCGGAGTTTGATCGCCCTGGCGGCAAGGAGAAGCTCGCAGCGCAGCTAAAGGATGCCGCGCACGAAGTTGGTATATACCAATCCCATTTTCTTTGCCTGTCTCATCAATCTCACTGAACACCCAGCTGATGTACAGTTGAACAGGCTTCTTCTACGTAACCAATTTCGGTCTCACCCAAGAACAAATCGACCGGCAGTTCGCCATCGCCAAAGAATTCTTCTCGCTCTCGGAGGAAGAACGGCGTAGTTTCCGTGCCCCCTTAGAAGAAGGTATCTACAATGGCTACCGACCTCTGGGTTCGATCGAGATCCTGCCCGGACTCCGTGACAACATCGAATTTTATAACATTATGAAATTCCTCCCCCAATACGACCGGAACCACCCAGACGTCGTGAGGCGCTACTGGGAGGAAATCGAGAAGTTCCACCGCCACTGCCACGAGCATATTGCTTATAAACTCTTCCAGCTGCTGGCAATCATCCTGGAACTCCCCGAGGACCAGCTTGTGGACGGACATCGCTATGAGGCCGAATGCGACAGCGGTCTCCGCTACATGTGTTACCGGGCCCGCACCCCCGAAGAGAACGAGAAGTACAAGCATCTCTACTCCCGTGGACACACGGACAATGGCACTATCACCTTTGTGTTCCAACAGCCCGTCGCGGCCCTCCAGGTCAAGAAGTACGATGATTCAGAATGGGAGTACCTTCCGATCCGCCCAGGAACGCTGGCGGTGAATATCGCCGATATCATGACCATGTTGTCGAACGGGTGGTTGAAGAGCGGCGTGCACCGTGTCATTGTACCCCCTGAAGACCAGCAACATTACGATCGGCTCGGACTCCTGTACTTTGTACGGCCGAGTGATCGTTTGAAGTTGAGGAGTGTGGATAGCCCGTTGCTTCGGCGCGAGGGGTATCATAAAGATACCACCGACATCGATATCCCAGCACCTGAATGGACACGGGCGAGGATTAAGAAGAACTGGACTCGGTCTCCGACGGATTTGGGTGAGAACGTTACGCTGGGAGGATTCAAGGCCAAGGTGTTCTACGAATAACTCATTGTGTCTTCCCAGCCTGGCTCTGCGGGCTCTACTTAGTTTTTGATTCAACTCTTACATGGCCAATTGAACTCTCCTTATCTCGGAATTGAAGACTGATTCGAGTAACTTGCTTAACTGACCACTGGTAAGCTGCTCTGGATGGAGTACTCTATACCTCTTTGCCGACGAACCTTTCACAATGGGGCAGCAAAGCAAGGAAACAGCAGATCGGCGATGATGCACGGAGTACTATTTGTGTGGGGGTCCTTCTCACCATCCATACTGCGTAGTCAACGTGCTCGAAACTTGGCGTGACTATGAAGCTGAAGTGGGGTAGTTCGTCTGCGTTACTTGTTGGCCAGCGATCTAGAGCGCGTAGTAAGAGATCCACCTGAATTAGTTCAATCATGCAGAACGCTAATGACCAACTTGCAACCGGGCAGCCAGCGAGACCGATGATATACATTTGAACCCATTGGCGGGCCGCTCAAATCCGTTTGATCAGCGCTTTGGCCTCATGTTCTCCGGTCTCCACCACGCATGTCGCATCCTTTGGCGAATAATCCACGGCTGGGGTTCAAACCTCCATGCAACTAAAGAGCAGAAAGAGGGGGTTCTGCATAGACAAGAAGAGGGGTAGACGGAAAGAAACAGGGGGTACACGGTATACTTCATGGACTAAAAAGCTACTAATCAGCTAGACTCCGTCTACGCATTAGGGCTTAGGTAGCCACCGTCTCCATCCGAACTTTACAACTTATGCGGCCTCGTCCTCCCAGCCAAGGCAGACGCACGTAACATCTCATTTGTAAGGATCATGACGCCCTCGTCAGCACCAATCCCAGGCTTAGAGAG